TTTAATTACTTTCTTTCTTTTTTTTTTTTTTTGTTCTTTGTTCTTTCTTTCTTTCTTCTTTATTATGAGCAACATCAATGAAATGTATTTAGGTCAATATTTTGAGGCACAGAGTTAAAAAAAATTAATTTTGGATCCAGTTGAAGTCTAGAATGAAAACAATGCACTACAAAAGATTTTTGTTGCTTTGAAATGTTGACTCACTCGGGCTTAGCCAGATATATATATAAGATTTTGTCTGTATGTATGTTTGTTTGTACCATGATTGAGCACAGGTCTTTTTAATAATAACTCCCTTTATCCACTCCTTTCAAATTTGGGCAAGCTGAAGAAAAAAATAGAAAGAATTTGGTCACCTTAGTTGAAAGAAAACTTTGAGTTCAAAGACACTGACTGCTGAGCTGGAGAAATATACAGAACAAATTCACAAGCCTATGTGAAAATTTCTTTGGACCAATGAAAATGTTGTATATTTCAAAGAAAAAAAGGAAAATTGGTGGAGAAAGAAAAATGATATATTAAAAAATTAAGTAAAAAATGACCAAAAAATAAAACAAATTAATAAAGGATAAAGCATAATAAAAAAGTAGAAACAAACAAGAAGTATAGTAAAAACAAACAACCTAAAACTGAATGACCAGTTACCAAAAATCAGCTCCGAATTGTAAAATACAAAAAACCATAAATTTAAGACATTATTAAATTAGAAAAGCTTTTAATTACTTTTAAGAAAAATATATGTTAAGTTTAAGGATAATTGTCTGAAGCCAAAAACATTTTCTGATGAAAAATGAATTCTTACGAGAATTGTTTTATTTTTTTTTATTTAATTTTAGTTACAATAATTTATAAAGTTGTTAAATGTCTTAAAATTCAGTTTCAATGTTCTTTTATTAAGTAAAACTATTTTTGCTAATCACAAATCTAAAAGCTTATTACAAACGTTTTTAAAAGTTTTTAAAAAAAGAATTTTACATTGTTTCTGAATGGGCATAAATATGAAATAATAATAACTCCCTTAACCACACATTTCAAATTTGAGTGAGCTGAGGAAAAAGACATAAAGAAATTCATGAATCTCTATGAAATTTTCTTTGGACCAATGAAAACTTTGAATTCAAAGAGATTGGTCAGCGAGCTGAAGAAAAAGATGAAACAAATTCACAAACCTATGTGTGATTTTCTTTGTACCAATGAAAATGTTTTTACAAGAATTAACCATGGAGTCTAGAAAAAGAAAATAACGATCATATGTGAAATCCTTTTTTATATAAAATAAGGAGAAAAATTAAATTAAAAAGAGAAGAGTTTCTGAAGTTATATGAAAAGTTTCATTTCTGTTCATGCATCCAGTGTTCAGATTTTCACCAGTTAAATTACTCACTTATTATATTATTGGTCTTAACAAAGCACTTGGCATTTCAAAGAACTATCCCAAGAAAGCTTAGTATTCCTTGTCATTACCATCCATCATTAATTTTCTTTGTGTGGGTAAACCAACTGTTCATTTTTACCCTGAAGTTCCAAGCCACTATAGAACAATATCACACAAGACTTTTAGTAATTCAAGAGAAAGCAAATGCAAGGAGAGCTATGGAGGATACCAGAACACAGAGAGAAACATATTTGCAGACCAAAAGTGCACAAAATTCTTTACATCAGGCAGTTGAAACATCAGAACAAACAGAAGAAAGACTGAAAATCAAAAGAACCAGGATGTCTGCAGAAGATAAGAGATAGGAAAGGCTTTGGAAGGAAAAGGCTAGAGCAGCTGAGACTCTTGAGCAAAGACAGGAAAGTCTTCAGGCTGCTAGAGATAAGAGGGCTGTTAGTAGGGCAGTTGAAACTCCTGAGCAAAGTGATGAAAGACTACAAGCTGATAGAACCTGGGGTGCTGCTCATAGATCAGCTGAAACTCCTGAACAAAGGCAAAAAAGGCTGCAGGATGGCAGAACTAGGGAACAGAGAAGAGCTGTCCTTACCTGGGAGCAGTGGCACTGTGCTAGCAGGACCAGAATGCCATGACCTATGTACACCACTATGATAAGCCAGATATTTTTGTAACTTTTACATGCAGCTGAAAGTGGAAGGAAATTGAAGACAAACTATTTCTGTAGCAAAAGGCCAAAGATAGACCTGACCTCCTTGCCAGATTCTTTCACTGGAAGTTGCAGAAGTACATGAATCTGATTAAAAAGGGGAGAAAATTTTGGTCTGTAATGTGTGACATGTACACACAACTGAGTTGCAAAAACAGGGGCTACCACATGCTCACATTCTGCTTTGGCTAGCAACAAAAATTCACTCTAATGAAATTGACAGGATAATCTTGACAGATTTTCTAAATCCATCAACTGACAAGGAGTTCTATGAAGTTATTAAAAGGAACATGGTATGTGGTCCATGTGGTAGGAGCTTTAGCTTTAACTCGCCATGTCTGAAGAACAATGTATGCTCAAAGAAGTTTTCCAAGAGATTTCTTATAGAAACAGCAAACTGGTAATGATAGATAGCCTTCTTGCAGGTGTAGAAGCCCAGATGATGTTGAGTTTTCAGCAAAGGTTGGACAACATAAGTTTGACCACCAGTGGATAGTACCCTATTGTCTCTTGCTGTCAAAGACATTTAATGCCCACGTTAATGTTGAGTTCTGCAACTTGGGGAAATCCATCAAGTATGTTTACAAGGAATGTTTATAAGGAATCATTGGCATACAGCAGGAAAATAGCCAAGATGAGGTAATCCAGTATCAAATGAGCAGATACATCAGTAGTAATAAGGTATTTTGGTGTGTGTTTGGCTTCCCACTACATGAATGACACCTGGCTATTGTGTAACTTGCAGTACATTTGGAAAATAGTCAATGTGTCAACTTCATTGAAGCAAATGTTTTTCAGGTAGCACACACACAGTGATACTACATTCACGTCTTCAAGCTGTGCCAAAATTATTTTTTTCCCCGCACACTTTTGTACTCCCAAGTGCCATCTTATTACATCTGGAAAGGCAAAAAGGTAAGTGATCCCACCTCTCTGTAGCATAAGTATAGGGATAGCTTATCTGAAGACTTTAAGCACCAAGTCCAACTCCAGTTTCCAGGTATGCAAATAGAGTTCAATGATGAAATTTACAACAAGGTGTTAATCATTATAGAAAACTATATCATTTCTATTGGAGGGTATGTTTTAGCAACATATAAGTTGCCCAAAATTCATTGGACTGGGACCAATGCCTTACCCACAGAGATGTTGAGAGTAACATCCTATGATATCAATGCCCTGTGTGCATATATTGATGAAAATGAGTGAAAGTTGCTTCTGGACCAAAAGGAGCTTATGGCACTATTGTTGATAGTGTCCACTTCTACAAAGGTGGCATGTTCTTAGATGCTCCTGGAGGGACAAGAAAGACATTTGTTACTAAGCTGCTTTTGGCCAAAGTTTGACAATACAAGGACATAGCTTTGGCACTGGCCCCCTTTTGGTATTGCTGCAACTTTGCTGCCTGGTGGCTGAACTGCACATTCAACTTTTAAGCTTCTATTGGACTGGACTTCATCAGATAATCTAATTTGCAGTATCAGCAAAAGCTCTGAAATGGCCCAAGTGCTAAAAAGGTGCAGGTATGGGATGAATGTACCCTGGCACACAGGGCAGCACTGGAAGCATTGGGCTGAACCATGAGCAACATTAGGGATTGTCAGTTGCCTATGGGAGGTATAGCACTCCTGCTATCTGGAAACTTTAGGCAAACACTGCCAGTTATAACAAAAAGAACCAGAGCTGATGGAGTCAGATCATGTCTCAAATCTTTTTTGTTGTGACAACATATTCAAACGTTGACTCTGAGTATAAACATGAGAGCACAGTTATTTGGAGATCAGCTGTCAGCTCAGTTCTCCTGCAACATTTTGTGACTTGTTAATGACTACATACCTTTAGATACCAATTGAGAGATGACCATTAGCCCAATCTGCAATATTGTCATTACTGCTGATGAGCTTAAGGCCAAGGTTTTCCCAAACCTCCAACATAATTACAAAAACTACAATTGGTTATATGACAGGACAATATTGGCTCCAAAGAATGAAGCAGTTGACAGAATCAATGACCAACTGTTGCAGTTCCTCCCAGAAACATCTCATATATCTAGAGGTTAGTGGATACCATTCCAGATCTGGAACAGGTGGTCAATTAACCAATGGAATTTCTGAATTCTCTAGAACCTCCTGGACTATCTTCACATAGATAGGAACTTAAGATGGGAGTGCCTATAATGTTATTATGGAATCTGGACCCACCAAGACTTTATGGCACCAGACTGGTGGTTAAGAAATTGATGTCACATGTAATTGAGGCATTACTGGATAAGGCAAAGATATCTTTATTCCTAGGATTTCCCTTATTTCATCAGGGTCAGATATTCCATTCATGGTTAAGAGACTTCAGTTTCCAATATAAGTAAGTTTTGCTATGTCTATTAACAAAGAACAAGGCCAGACTCTATCAGTTACTGAAGTAGTTAGAAGAATCCTGTTTCTCTCATGACTAGTTGTTGCTTACATGTGGAAAGTAAAACCAATTTGTTTGTTTATGCTCCACAGGGAAAGACAAAGAATATTGTCTACCAAGAAGTATTGTAGTGTAAATCTGTAATGAAATTGGTCCTGATCTAGCATCTCTATCACCATAACAAAGCCTCCCTGTGCCATTTCTAGAAATATTTTCATGGTAATTATTCTGATTAGCTTTTCTCTTTGGTATCTTAACTTTACAGATTTAAGTGCATTACTGCATTGGCAGCTAGGTCTCATCATTTTAGAGTTGAAATTGCAAAATGTAACTGTCAGTTCTATTCTTACAGTTTCTTCCCTTGCATTTCTTACTTGTAGAATTCTCTTCCAGGTTCTTGCTTTCCAGACACCTTTGATCTTCAAAAATTTAAATGCAATGTCAATTGACATCTGTCTCTTTGGATCCTTTTCTTTTATTGTCCTATGCTTATGGCCATATCATGTTGAAACACCAGTTCATCTACAATTACTGAAGTTAAGCAATGTCGAGCCTGGTCAGTACCTAGATGAGTGATCGCTTGGGAATACCAGGTACTATAAGTTTGTATGTGCAGGTGGTGTAATTGTTAATGGCTCAGGATTTTTATCCAGAGAGCCAAGTTCCAATTAGGTTTGTTTTATTCACTTATGTGCATATACTTAAGGGAACGGTATGAATTCACCTCTTCTCCCCACAGCTATGGGTTAATTAGTAAGATTTGTATCACTAAATCATTATTATCTCAAAAAAAATTCTTACAATCTAAAATTTTTTTTCTGAATTTAAATAACCTGCAAACGAAAAATCAATCAATCAATCAATGATTTTATTGTCCTCTCTTCTTAATAATCATTTTTCTCTTATTCTTTCACTTTCAGTAAACTCTCAAGTCATAGTGGCTTTATTGCCTTGCTTGGAATGAAATGATTATTATAAGTATAATATTGAATTATCATCCACCCACATGAAAATATTTGAAGATGTGATGATAAAAATTAAAATTCAAAATGTAAAGCCATAACAAGTGACATGACAAAAAATCAAATTCAAAATATAATACTATAAATTATCAAAATTAAAATATAAATTATCAAAAGAAGACATCAGAGGAAATAAATATATACCCCAGTTGAAAAAATTTTACTTACCGAAAATGGTGAACTCAGATGAAAGTACTCAGAGAATTAATATCAGGAAATGCATCTTTAATCAATGTAATTTATTAAGAATTAAAGCCTTAATTAGTGAATATTTTTCCTTTACTAAAAAATAAATTTCTTTACAATTTACTTTATTAAAAATAATTATAATGTATTCACTAATTAATGTTTTAATCCTTAATGAATTACTTTTATTTGGTTATTAAAAAGTTATGTCTTTCTGATGCTGAGTTGTCTCAGTCCTGAGCTGCCCCTATGCTCAGTTGATAGTGTTCAGTCGTTGGTGTTGAGTTGGCAGTGTTGAGTTGTCTCTTTCCATGTAGATTGTGGTAGTTAATTGATAATATCTCCCCACTGTTTTTTTCATTAGAATTTGAGTGAAAAGAAATTATATGCTTATTGAATTTATTTATTAAATTCAATACATTTTAAAATATGATTTGGGGGGAGGGTCATCTTGTATGGCAATTATAACCTGAAATCTACATTTTAAATGGAAAATTTTGGGGTTGTCTTATATACCCACACCATGTACGCCAGTATATATAGTATGTTGATTCTTCTTTCCATGTCTCATAACTGTTACCCTACCCACACATTCAAATTCTGACTCAGACTGTTATCTCCCCTTAATACTAATAGCATTGGAAAAGGAATAAATCTATCTTCTCCAGCTAAATAATATTGCAGACATGATTCACTTGCTTTGAATAGTAACAAGTCTTGGAGAAATAAAATGGAATTTGAAATGGGGCTATGAATCTTAGTCTAGCCATTCACAGCAACTTACTGAACCAGGCCTTGTTGTTGAATTCTGGAAGGGATGATGAGATGGCGAGCCTGGATATCTGCAATTCCTTACGCACATAAAATCCATTCATACACATGTCATTCTGTCTTGAAGATAACCATAATCACACCTTGAAATAAATAGTGTGTTTATATAAGTATAGAATAAAGCTGATATATAATTGCTTTTGTTTGCTATGGTAGGTTCTTTTTTTATAGAAAATGGTAATACAGCAGAACAAAATATGGTTTAAAATTGTTTGTCCTGTCAAATTTCTCATTAATGAATAAGAAAATGACAGTTGTAAAGTAATTTCTTGTATTTTAAAACCAAAAAAGAAAATTAACTCCTATGAGCATTAAAAACTTTTGGCAATGCTTAATATTTATGCCCACAAAAAACGGTGTGTCAAAAGGACGGTTTTTCACTTGACACTGCTATTATTTTAACTACCTTCACTTCTCGACAATGTATATTGTTTTAAAATGTGATGATTAGAATTTTAATAAAACGTAAACATACAAAAGTGAATTTATACATTTTATTCTTGAGAATTTGCAACAAATATTAAACACTATAAGATTGTTTATAGGAATGATTGGCAAAACATTGGTTGATTGCCAATCAATTTAAACTTTATGAAATGGTAAATAATATGGATTTCCTTATAGTTGGCTCATATATTTTTATAATTTTGTAAATGTTTATAAATTTATGAATAAAAATTGTTTTTATATTTATTTATTTATTTATATTTTGGTAAATGATAAATATTGCATTGTATTAGATTTAATACAATTGTATTAGTTTTTAGAATGTTGTAAATATAAAATTATTCTTGTAAATAAACAATCTACTGAATAAATATTAATATTTCTGTTGCAAATTCTCAAGAACAAAGAAAATGTATAAATTCACTTTCATATGTTTAGGTTTCATTGAAATCATAATCATCGCTTTTTAAACAATAAATATTTTACCAAAGACTGAATGTAGTTAAAATAATAGCAGTGTTAAATGAAAAACCACCCTTTACACATATTCGTATTTTTGTGGGCTCAAAGTTTAAAAATTGCCAAACTTTTAACTTAATATATTTGCAATATGATATATGATAAAATATATAATATATGGATATATGGCTGAATGGTAAGAATGTTGGCATTCTGATTATGAGGCCTGAGTTTGAATCTCACCATAGTCAATTTCACTGAAAAGTCACTATTTTATAATATCAGCCAGGGGAGATGATCCAATATGCAGCGCTGTTGGGAAGTGCATGAAAACCACACCCAAGTTTTGTGAGTGAAATTGTGTAGATGAAACTGTTTGGAAGCTTTTGATGGTTGGATTAAGGCAAAGTCATAAGTCCTCAAGTGACCAAGGATTTGAGCATATTTTCCTTGCTCAAACAGTTGATCACACTAGATTATGCACTATCTCTGACAAATTGTAACTATGATCTGTTCAATACTGTTGCAGTATAAATCACAGGTTGGTTTTGTGGGTGTTCAACAAACATAAATGTGCCTGAGCAGGTGTCATTAACAGGGACTTGCTTGCATATTAGCTGACAGCCATTCTGAGGAGTCAAATGTATATATAATAAAACATAAACAGGTCTGAGAAAATTTATTTTATATTACACGAGAAAGGAAATAAAACTAGAAGCAGAATATATATAAATTAAAAAAGAAAACAAAAAACAACTCCTATATTTTTTTGGTTTAATATTTTTCTTTTCATATTTTACAGCTTGTTTAGAAAAAAGTGTAGAATAATAAATATTTATTTTAATTTAAGATTTTTAATTTATATTTTACAGATTTGTTGTATCCTTAAAGAGGTTAAAAACAGACAAAGGTAGTACTCGAGTGAAGGAACAGCAACACGTGTATAGATGAAAGAAAGAGAGGCTTATTGTAAAAGAGAATTCACTACTGAAAGACGGGGAATTGGATAGCATTCCTGAAGCAAGTCACCAGGTATACCCTGTGCTCACTATATATATATATATCTACTGATATAGTCAGTCCGCACAGGTGATAGGGAGTGTGGGACATTCCATTACAACACCTCCCCCTGAGCTAATTTTCCCATGAAATTTTGTTCAGTACCTCTTCTTTTTGGGGTCAGGACATAGTTGTTTGACTTTTTTCCTCTTTTTAGTACTTTTCCGTCTCACCAATTTTTGTGCTGGTGAGATTTGAGGCATTAGTGGTTTTTGGGGAGCTGATACTTCCAGCACTGGCTGCGATGAAGATACTGTCATCGGTACTGGTGGAGATATGGGAACTGGTATTTGAAATGCGTCATATATTTCATCCATTGGTAATTCTTCATTCTTTTCGTATGTCTTGGTCTTAACTGATTTAAATGTCTCTTACATTCAAATCTTCTTCCTTTGAGCATTTATATCACCCTGCCAAGTCTTTTGGTGATAATTCCATCTTCCCAGAAGCTTTTCCCACCTCTATAATTTCTGAAGAAAATTCTGTCTTCTTCTGATTTGTAAAATTTGGTCACAAAGTTTTCTTTTTTTTACCACTCTTTTCATTGGACTAGGCAACAGCCTGTCAAACATTGACTGAATTTTTCTCATGAACATCAGTTTGGTTGGTGATAGGCCTGAATCTATGTTCAGATTGGGAGTAATTCTGTAAACCGTTAAAAATTTTGTATACTTCTCTCATCACTGTCCATTCCTTGATTCTTTCTTAGAGCTCTTTTAAAAGTGTCCACGAATCTTTCTGCTTGCCACTAGGATGGAAAACAGAGGTCATAATGTGGTCTATGGACAAAGATGTGCAGAAATCCTTAAATTCTCTGCTGGTAAATTGTGTCCCGTTGTCACTAACTAAAGATTTTGGTACACCAAAACACCTAAAAATCTCATTTAGTACACTGTACAACCTCTACACTCTTTTACCATTTTTTTCAATATCCTGGCCCATCCTAGGCCAATACGTATAGCTAAGTATTAATGTTTTCATTCTTGACATACCCAGATGACCTATATGCAATTCCTTCAGGATTTTCTTTTGCAGTGTATATGGCATTATCACTCTATCTGTATATAATAACACTTGCTTGCAGATTGAGAAAAGTGGTATTTTAGATCTTTTCTTTCAGCCATACCTGTTTCTTCATTTTTTTTAATGAATTCGTCCTTCTCAGTTGCTTTTTTATATCTTCTAGAGTCACAGGTAATTCCTGAATTGTATTGCATAGTAACTGATAATTCTTTTTCATCCCTTAAGCAGCTATCACCGTGTCTTCTAATGGTTCTGGAAAATTTTGGAATCAAGCTAGACAAACCGTCAGCATGTCCAAGTTTTTCAAGGGTAGGTATTCCATCTTCCAAGTCATAGTTCAATAATATTATTCCCCAGCACTGTAACCTGTTAGCAGTGTGTGGGTATACCCTTTCTTGATCCAAAAATTGTTAACAATGGTCTATGATCTGTCTGTAATGTAAATTTCCTCCCATGGATGAACCTGTGAAATTTCTTAACTGCATAGATTATAGCCAGGCTATCCTTCTTGATCTGGCTATAACTTTTTTCTGCAGGAAACAGCATTCTAGAAACATGGGCTATCAGTTTT